TTCAAATTCATTTATTATTATTTACACATTATTGCATTGCAAACAAAGAAATAAACATTATCATGCATTTATTCAACACAAACTTCTAATATCTATATTTTAATTACATAAAATTGCTTTTATTCTCAGTGATTTTCACAAGCCAACTCTCTGAAGACGGGTCATTCACAAATGCAGGTGAAGAAAAAACGCCTCTTCCCTAGCCATCTTTATACCTTGCAATAATTAACAAGAAAATTCTCGTCAAGTCCAGCAGTGTATAACTTCATTACACAATCACTGAAAGATTATTGATTCAAAGAGAATGAAAAGAAAAGAAACCACACAATCGGCTTTGTTTTTACTGAATATATATATTTACAAAACACTTGATTGTCCACACTTTCTACCTACTCCAATCTATCAAGTTGTCAACAAAAAAATATAAGACCATACTTAGATAACTTACAAAAGTTAAACTACCAACTATTTGTACTTAAATCACATGACTTTAGATACAAAAATCAGCAACCTTTTTTATAGTAAAAAACGTGATAGCCAAAGTGACAAACCAACTTCAACATTCCTCCTTGTCACTTTTGTTGGAAACATCAAGATTGTTTCTCAATGTTTCAAACCTTTCCTTTGCTAAAGACGTTGTTAATATGTCTGCAAGTTGATCATCATATTTGCAATGCACCAGCTTTATTTCATTTTGTTCCTGAGCTTTTCTGATTGAATGATATCTGATTTTGATGTGTTTGGTTCTATCATAGAAGACTGGATTCTTCACCATAGTAACCATGGACTAATTATCACAATAGATAACTGTAGCCTCATCTTGCTTGAACTTCAGATTTTCTAACACCTTCCTTAGCCAAATTCCTTGATTGTTAGCTTTTCTTCGTCAATACATAAGTCGAAGTCCTGTTGATTGTGCCATGGTTTTTTGTTTCATTGAATTCCAGCATATGATACTTGAACCAACATAGAATATGTAGCCAGAAGTACTCTTCATATCCTCAAAACTCCCTGCCCAATCACTATGAGTGTAGCCGATTAACTTGTACAATTTTGACTTCTTAAACCAGATCCCCATTTCATTAGTTCCTTTGATATATCTCAAGACACGTTTGGCTGCTTGAAAGTACAATTCACTCGACTCTTGTCTGAACCTTGATAGAAGATTTACAACATATGTAATATCAGGTCTGGTTGATGTTAAATAGAGCAAACAACCAATCAAACTTCTATAAACCTTTGCATCAACCTGCTTTGCACCATCTTCCTTCAACAGGTTTTCATTATGAACTAATGGTGTGCTAATAGCTTTGCAGTTTTCCATGTTAAACCTTCTTAGCACATCCTTTGCAAACATCCTTTAACTGATAAAAATTCCTTGCTGATCTTGATAAATCTCCATTCCTATGAAGTAATGCATCTCACCCAGATCAGCCATTTCAAAAGCCTTCTTCAATTCATCTATCACTTCTCTAATTGATTTGTTGCCGCTACCTGTGATTAAGAGATCATCAACATAGAGTGATATGATGACCATTTCTGCTTCCACTTGTTTTTCATACAGAGTCTGTTCATTTAAACTCTTTGTAAAACCAAGATAACTAAGATGATTATCAATTTGACTATACTAGGCCCCTTGGAGCCTGCTTCCAGCCATACAAGGCTTTCTTTAATAGATAAACTTTATCCTCATTCTTTTCTATCTGAATGCATTCATGTTGCTCTATGAAAATCTGCTCATTTAAATAGTCATTTAGGGAAGCTGATTGACATCTAATTGGAAGATTTTCAAACAACTTTGAGCTGCAATTGCCATAAGCAATCTGATAGTCTCATATCTTGCAATTGGGGCAAAAGTATCAGTGAAATCAACACCAAACTGCTGA